AAATTCTTTGCATTTGTGGTTGACATGATGTGGAAAAAATATAATGCAATAACACCTAGTTTAGATTCTAAACTAGGATCTGTCTTTATATTTCAGTGGTTGTGAATTGTAGCTAACTAAAGGAGTAGGCCTGTGTTAATCTTGTCAGCTTAAAGATTGTAAGTCAGAAAACTTGAGGCCAATCCTTAATATTAAATCTACACTATTGTAGGGTCTGGTAAATATTTAGCCAAATACAGATAGAAACAAAATGTATGGTATAGGATCTTTTTGTGTAACATAAATATCTTGTTAAATTAAAACAGGTGAAAGCATATTGAAGGCAATTTTTGAAGCATTACCTGACCGTGATGAAAATTCCAATGGACCAAGTGGTAAGAATTTTACAATCCCATATTTTAATGTGTTAGAATTTACCTGCTAGCTTGATATTTAATTTATTATTATGTTCTTTTTTTATTATTAATCTATTATGTTCTTACAATCAAAGTCTTTTTTCTTGGTTGGGTTTTTTTATTTTACCTAATTCTAAAGATTTTGTTATAAAAAAGAATCAATAGGAAATTGTTTTTAAGCCTTAGAGGTGTAACTTGTAGTGTGGTGTAGAAGCATGGTGTCAGTTGTTAACATTGAATGTACCTTGTAAAGCTAATTTACTTTCATAGAGTAGAGTTCAAGCTGGATAAAACTAACTGTACAAATAAAAATTAAGAAGGTGTGATTCAGAATGTGTCTTTTGATTAAACTTTTCTTTGTTCTGAGGAAACAGGATCTGCAGACAATCAAAAAACAAATGAGATGAGCCTGACAGAATTAAAAAATAAAATCCAAAATTACCTTGGTAAGAACATTGATGTGTGTTACATATTTATGTTAGAGGATTTTTGCTGTTGAAAGGTTTAACATGTAATTAGTTAAAAAAATGTAAAGTTATTTTCTGGAATCCAGGCCTATAGTGGCCAGTCCCAGGATGAATTGAATGTTCAAACATAGTCTATGATTGCCTCAGCTATTTGAAAGTTTTCTTTTTTTAAAGCTATATTATTCCAATCCCTCTTTTCCTGTTTAGTGTGTGAACATTTTCCAAATAATTTTGTTAATCCCTTTACTGTGGATGATTAATTATTCTGGCAGGGTGCACTGATTGATGGGCTAGCTTATTGATCTGACCCCGTTTTAAATGAAAAACCTTTCTTATCTACCTCTGCAAATATCTAAAAATATATATATATATATATCAGCCACTTTTAATGCTGAAACCTTTTTTTTTTTCATATTCATAAGCATTTGTCTCAGGTGCAGTTTAAAAGAAGTTATTTTTTCATTTGAGGTATTGCTAAATAGTTTTTGTTATGGTGCAGGCAGTGTCTTCTGAACTAAGCTTCATATTCTTTAAACTGAACAGAAAACGTTGAGGCTGTGGAGGTTAACACTAAAGCTTGCAATACCTTCTCAAACGATTGGAGTCCTGGTAAGAGCACAAATAAAATTATTTAAATGTACTAAATTTATCTAAATCTTTTTTGTTACATAAAACAGAAAAGTTTCACATTGTTAGTTTGGTTAGTCATTTTTGTTTTATGTTAATGTTAATGTGCGTTTAACTCATGTGATATAGACAATTGGAGAGTTACTCTGGGGAAACACATATTTAATCCTCCAACATAGTGCTGTCAAAATGACAAATCACTTTTTAAGCAGGCAGTCTCTCCTTCATCCTTTTAATGCTGTCCTAATTAACTTCTGGTGGGCTTTTATTATGGTTATTTAAAGTTTTTATCAAAATTATGGCTGCTTTATTACTATTTTAGTTCCAACATGGTCACTACCAATAAGGAATTGCCAGAAAATAAGTTTAAGCAGACAATATGTTGAAGGATGATGTATATTAGGCGACTTTATATGTTTTTCTCTTGTCCTCTTCCTACTTTACAAAAAATAGATATGAAATTGATCTGTTTGTCTGGTAAAATGTCTTAAAATTACATATTTTGTGCAGGTTTGGAAAATTTGAATGGGACTGCTTCTTATCTGTTACAGCTGATCATTAATGCAACCATTTTTGATACTGGTAAGAATGCCAACATTTGCAAAACTATCTTAAAACGTTCTTATTGTCTATATCTTAATAATTTATCAATACCTTTCCTGAAGTAACTGAGTATTCATATCTACATTTCACACAGTTTGTTGTTAAGCTGAAAAACAAGTTGTGGATTATTTTCATGTTAACTGATTTGTGGATGTTTTCAACTCTTCTAGATAGATTCAGCCTATTTCATTTGTTTGGTAACTTTTGTTGAAAACTAAAAAACATTTTTTTTTTATCAGAGGGAAAACAATGCTTGATATTCCTACAGAAAAACGAAACTAGACAAGGTAGGTTATGCTTAAAAAGTCACACCTAGAAATTATATCTTGTCACAAAGCCTCCATCATAAATGTAAATAATGAAGTTAAATGTTTTTTTATTCTAATTTGCAGAAAAATTTTGGAGTGAGTGGCCACAAGTTAAAGAAAATGATGATCTCCTCCTTTACATTCCAAAAAAACATGTTCAGAGAGAGGTTCCTATGCACGTCTTTGGTGGAAAACACTGCTTGAATTCATCAGGTAAACACTGATGCCTCTTCGATTTAAAAGATACCATTTTCTTTTTTCTTAAATAGTACTTTATTTTTCAGTGTGTGAATAAGAAACTCCTAACAATGACTTAAACCAACTTTTAAAATCCAGTTTTTAAATAACACAAAGTAGCTAAAAGGTTGCTGAAGGATTAAAGAGATTTCTTCTTAAAAAATTGCTGGCTAATTCGGTGTTTGCTTTTATCTGTTTGTTTTTTCTGTAATGCCTAATCTGATTAGAATCCTGTAAAAGTGGAACATCGGTGCCAAAAACATGTAGCGACTCGCCTAAATTTCAAGAAAAGGAATGCAGAGACCAAGGTAAGCATCACTGAGATCAGAGTAATAACTGGATTCAGCATTATATCAACAGGTTCAACTTCAATTCATTATTAACTTTTCTTTTTTTGCGTGATGGTTATTGCAATTTAATAATATTGATTTATTACAATCAAGAAATATAGAGGAAAAAAAATGTTTAAAAGACAAAAATACAGTTATCAGATTTACAAGATCTGAAACAAAATTATGGAAGGTAGGAATAACCAGTTACATACAAGTTAGTTCTAGTGCTGCTTTTTGCTTTATTGAAGAACAGGCAAAACTTTTTAAGAAATTAAGAACCACTTTAGAAAACGTACTCAACTTTTTGTGTTTTGTTTTATTTATTTTTTATGTGGATTACTGAGTAAAATTAGGACAGTTAAAGAGAAATGCATGTCAGCAATTATTAACAAACAAGCAACGTAGATTCAGTGCAAGATTTATGAAGAGCTGCCAAAATAATCTGTCCAAACATGACAAGGTCTTTCTGCATGGAGTCTGTTCCTGTGCATGCGTGGGTTCATTCCGGGTACTCCGGCTTCCTCCCAGAATCCAAAAACATGAATGTTAGGTTAATTTCCTTCTCTAAATTGTCCTAAGGTGTGAGTGTGTGTACATGGTTGTGTGTCTTTGTGTGTTTCTGTGTTGCCCTGCGATGGACTGGCGACCTGTCCAGGGTGACCTCGCCTCTCGCCCATAGACTGCCAGTGATAGTCAACAGCCCCTCCGAGACCCTGACCAGGACAAAGCTGAAGAAGATGGATGGATGGATGACTTATATTTGTCTTGATATGGAAAATTGAAAGACTTTAAGAAATTAAAGGAATAATAACAGGTTAAATGCATATTCTTTTTTTTTTAAACGTTTTTACGGCACTAGTGGCTTGTTTTTTCGACAGTGGGCTGTCGAGAAAGGGTGGAGAAACATGCGGCAAAGGACCACACGTCCCTGGTCGCCCACGTCAAAGACCTCCGTACATGGGTCGTCCATGTTAATCACTGCAAACATGCATATATCTGATAAAACTTAAAAAGTTGTTTTTTTAGCTGGCCTTAGAGGAGATATCATATGAAATATTTCACTAAGTTTATCAATAGCATAGAAGAATACAGGTTGAATAAATTGGAATAGTTAAAGCTACAGTGTGTAATAATTACAGGGATATACAGTCAGAAATGTAATATATTATACACAACTGTTATTTATCATCATCTACGAGCTCAGCCTCTTAACCTTAATATTTGCGTTGCCTTAGAATTCGTTATTTATAATTACATAGGAGCGGGTCTCGCAGCCATGGAGGCAGACATCTTTGCGCTACGGCATCGCAGAGCCAACAAACTAGTGATTGCGAGATCGCCCATTACGCTCGAAAGTAACTACGGCAAGTTGTTTAAGTCTACATGAAATCTATACCCTACACAGACTAATGAAATACTATCTGTAAAATTATCTATGTAAACAAACCTCATCATTTGAGAAGGTAGGTGATGCGGACGTCGTGGAAGATATTTTGTCCCGTAACGCTCGCCCTGTAAGGATGATCCCCTGTAGACAATGAATTAATTCTTTACTCTGCTTCTTTGACCTGCAGTCTACAACGACAAATACATAATGAACCTAACAGCATCACCACCCCTCTGCATCAACTGTGACAATCCAGTAAAAACGGCTGATGAGAAGATTGAGATGAATACCACTATTATAGCTGAAGAAGAAGAAATTGAAGCAACCAAAGCTGTGTAAGACGTGCTTATTGGGAAATAAATGCTTTAAAAATGCTCCTAATTCTTGTCTTGCAGTTATACTGAGCAAACCTTTGCATTCAATGATTTCTGCATTACACTTTTAATAGCTGGTAGATATTTTGAGTTTAACTACTACTGGAATTATTGAAAAAACAGCTTTACCAATAAGTCAGTCATAAATTAAAACATGTATTCATTCATAAGTCTTCTTGATATCAGTTAAGTTGTTGTTTGAGACATAAAATGAGGTGTTTTTTAAAACTGTTTTACATGATTGTGGTTGAAAATACTCTTCATATTTCAAACAGTGAACTCATGTCTGAAATGGGAAATTTAATCTCCAAAATGAATGGAACTTCAGCTGAACTGTCAATAGGGAAAGGGATTGAGGGAATCATAGTGAAACAAACCAATCCTCAGGAACTGGATGAAGTTTCCTTTGCTTATCAGGATCCAAATGACAAACTCAAAGTGAGTCCTTTTATTTACCTCTTACCTGTTCAGTCTACTTTTAACTATTCTGCAAAAATTGGGTTAGTTATCTAAGTATTGATGTATGTTTCCAGCTGCCTGTTATCATAGTTACCTTATATAGCTGTACACAGCTGGTGAAAGCAGTCCTGTCTCCTTTCTTCTAGATTATAGAAGACCGTGAGTATCTTGAAGGATTTTTGAGGTCTGTCTCCATTCCCAAGGAGGCTTTTGAAAAGGCTTTCAGTTCAAACATCACTTTACCCTTTGCAGCTGTTCTCAGGTTTATGAATTTGTCTCAGGTAATAGAAAATGACCTTAATCATATATATTTTGATCCACAGTTTTAATCAAGCATGTGTTGAAATGTTCTAATTCCTCTGTTTTAATGTCCAGGATGAAAGTAACAGTAGTGTACTAAATAATGAGGTTGTGGCCATTGAGATGGGCGCTGAGATCAAGAATCTCACTGACACAATAAGCATCAACTTTAATATTTTGAATGAATCAAAATTTGTAAGTTTATTGTCACAAATTCAACTCTTTAAATTCTAACATCTGATTCTTTTTTAAGCAGGCTTGTGGTTTTGCTTTTGTTTTTCACAGAGAAATTTAAAGAAAGAGTATGAACCCATCTGTCGGTCATGGAATGGTGAAGGTAATTTGCCCTTTTTTAATTTGCATCTGGGTATGTGTGAACTGGCAAAGCTCTATATTAGAATTTCAGTTTTTCAGCTGCGTTGTGTAAAGGGGAAAAAACAGAAACAATAATTAGGGTTAAATGGCTTTTCCATTAACGTAATCGGGATGTAAAACAAAAAAAAAGGGTTTAGGAACAGAATGCATAAATAAAATCTAATAAAAGTGGATGTCAATCAAGAAAAAATAGGGTTTAGTTTAATCTGTTTTTAACATTCCATATGTTTTATTTCCCTCTTCAATTATTTTGCATTCTTAAATATCATAACGCATCAATTGCAAACACAAAGAAACAAACACACAGAGTGTCCTGCTACAAGTGTAAAATCGGGATTTATTATCGCAATGGTCATTAGATATTTTCAGCATACCCTGAGCAACTTTAAAAGCAATGTGTTTGAGAAAATTCATGATAAATTAGTAAAAATTCTGAGTAGTGACCAGAGGAAACAATATATTTGTGAAATGTGTCTTTACCTTAATAACCATAATATCTAAAGAAGAAAGAATTGACATATAACCAATTCTAACCTAGTAGAAACCTTTTCTCAGAATTATCAAATAAATGAACATTTTGAACTGCTTTTACTATCATTTTAGTTAGTCATACATCTGTTCAGAATTATCTAAACAGGTTTGATGTCTCCCGTTCATATGAAACTCAAAGATCTTAATGTTAAAAGTAAGGTACAGCCAGATAGATTAGATTAGATTAGATTAGATAAGCTTTATTGATCTCACAGCGGAGAAATTCGTCACATATTGGCATAGAAGTTACAGGAGGTGCAAACAAGGAGGAAAAAGGTGCATTAAGAATAAGCAATATATATACAGTATATCAAGATAAATAGGATTAAGGTGCAAGTGTACACAATGAAAAATAAAATAAAAATAAGAAATAAAAAAATAAGAAATAAAAATATGTACAATCCGGATGGCTTATATACAGGTTGAGAAATATTGCTCCTTCAGCATATTGCACAGGATATTGCACAGTCAATAAATAACATTAAATTATTCATTCATCTTGATTTTTATTATCCTTAAAAAACATCCAACAATTTAAATGATAAACTTAATAAATAACAATAAATGAATAGCAAGAACCGTTTACCGTGTGCAGATATAGAATTATAGTTATGCCCAGAAGTGATGATGCTGAAAAGAAAAGCTGCAAATTTCAAGCTATCTTATAATGTAACGCACTAATAAGACACACAGAATCAAAATATTTGGTGATTAAACAGTTGTGTGTGTAGGTCCATTTGTTTTCGCTTCTAGTCGGTCTTATCAGCAATGCGTAACAACAGTGTTTCTGACTTGCAGGAAGTAAACCCAACTGGACTGTAGAAGGATGTACAACCATCTTAGATGGTAATGGTGTTAGATGCAGGTGTTCACATCTCACCTTCTTTGCTGTCTTGCTGGTGCGTTTTTATATTAATCATCAATCGATTCAATGCTGTGAAATGAACTGTCGGTTGACTCTGTGTTAACTTTTTTCTGCTTTTGTATCTTCCAGACTCCCCTTAATCAAACCATCTCCAGTCACGACCTTAACATCCTCACTATGATCACGCAGGTTGGGTGCGGCTTTTCCATTTTCTTCCTGGGCATAATCCTCTTCATGTACTTCCTTATAAGGTAGAAAAATTGAAAACAAATGCTTAATAATACTGTTTTACAATGCAACAAACATATGAGCATTTATGAAACAAAATTCCCTTGTTTCCTTTTAAAAAGTCAGACTGTTTTGTGATCTTTATAAGTCATATTGATTAATGAATCTCCCAGATATTTTGGGGGCAACTTTTGATGCTTTTTCAAGTATGTTGTACCTGACCAACCTATCATATGGTGTTATATGCTACCATTCAAATTCCTGTCTATAACATTGCTGATAGGCTGTTGGTAACACTGCTAACAAGTGCTGTGAAGTCATCAGCTGCCATATTGGTACTCCCTAGTTACACTAGTCGGAATGTAAACAATAGATGCGCTACAGCATCAAACAAAAATGCTTTCTCATTTTCAGGGAGAGCATAAGACTTTTAAAATAAAGATAAATTCATCACTTTGACACACACTTTCTGTTTCATACCATCAGTAGATTGACTGTAATTTATGATAAATAGGCACATCACATTGCACAGTCAACATGAAATCTAAAAAATTATAACATACAAATCCATGACAACAAAATTATTGTGTTAATGGAGCATAATAAAACTGTAGTCAGATATTAGAATATTACAGACGCACACACACTACATGTACATGTAATATACATGTATTGTTTATATTGTTATGGTAATTACATTACATTACAGGTAATTTTATGCCGCGACTCTGTTAAAATGGGGAGTATCAAGATGGCGGCAGGTTTTTTCGCTCTACCAGGAATCCAGAGAATAAATAGAGATCAGTGCATATAACTGTTTCATCAAAGGGGAAATTCAATCAATCAAATCTATATGTCAGTTATTTGCAAAGTTGTCTGTAATGTGCAGACCCCAATATTTTTCCACCCTTTAGGAAAGGGACAGTTTCACCTGAAAGATTCAGAGGTCAGGTTTTTTTGTAAATGTTTCAGTAATTGACAGCTTTTGGGTCAGAAACCCCCCAGAGCACTTTAGAACAAATATGAAAATTTGAAACCTGAAACTACAAGAATAAAATGAATAAAGGCTTTTACACTACTGAACATGTTTAGATTCAATAAATTAAAGACCCATTTTAAAGGCTACACTTTAATGCAACCTTCGTTAAATGCAACCTTAAATGAAAAAATGTGAAGGAAAGTTATAGACCGTCAAAACGCCTATAATTAGTTTTTTTTGCTTCCGGAGAGGAGGCTGCATGTTGGGACGCACTGTTTCACCGTAGCAAGAGCATCCAGGGTTTTTTTTCTGCAAAGATTGTGTACCCTCTAACTGCGCTGTGTGGGGATCTAGCTTTCCCTCCTATGCTTGGTTTCTTTAAATCGTCTCATTGTCATGTCAGAGTATCAAAGAAAGATTTAGCCTTAATAACTATGGCAGTCCTAGAGGGTCGCTGAAAAAGGAAACCAGCCGTTTAAAATTTAACATAAAAATCATGCAATTTAAAATTTTGTTTGAAAAGCATTTTCTAATTGAAAATTTTAAAATAAAATAAATTATTAAAGAGAAATTGTACATTGCATTTATTAATCCAATATTAGTAATGGAATTTGAATTGAATTTGAATTTGAAAATGTACTTTCAAATCCAATTTGTTATTTGTTATCCTATGCAGATTTAAAAACCAAAATTCCTAAACATATAGGGGTATTCACAAGAGTTATTCCTTATTCCATTATTATATTCTTTTTGAATTTGAATTTTTAAATCCTTGCAAGACAGGAGCATTTCTTTCAGCTTTACCCGCTGCTTTTACCTTTTCTGTGAACCTTTTGGTCCAGTGCACACTGAAAATCACTTTAACCAATCACAGTTGCTCCTGAGACGTAACCGGCTCCCTCATTGGTTATTTTATTAAAAAAGTGTGGCAGTCTAACAAATGACAAAGTTTAACTGTTTTCCAGTGTGCTCTAGGGGTAGATAAATCAGTAAAAGGTAAATGAAGAGGGTAACGCAAAAAAAACGAAAACATTTGCAATTGCAAGAAGGATTTGAAAGTGGAATAAGAATAACCTTTTTAAATGTGTGATTAGGAACGATGTTTATAATCAACTTTATGACTGGTTTTTTAAAATTTCAATTTAGAAGTATTTGAAAGTACATTTTCATATACCATTGTTTAATAATGGATTAATAAATACGATGTACAATTCCTCTATAATAGTCAACTTTAAAATTAGCAATTAGAAAATGCTTTTCAAATTGGAGTTCAAATTGAATGATTTAAATGTTACATTCAAATGGCTGGTTTTGTTTTTCAGTGAGTCTCCAGGTCCTCCTTAAATAACTGGCTAATGTTGCTATAATTCAGCTAAAACATCTCAATCATATTTATACTCTGACTTCAACTAGGCCACCCCAAAACATTCATTTTACTTTTAAATCATTTTAAGGTTGACTTGCTGTCGGGATCCTGATTATTCTCCTGCTACATAACTACATTGCCTTTGCCGTTAAAACTGGTAAAACTGTAGGATGTGACTTTTTCACCTGTCAGGGGAAAAAAGAAAAAGAGAATTCAAGGTTCAATATATAGTTTCATCCACATCCTGAAGCAGCATAGACCCTCTGTCATGTTCCTTTTTTTTTTTTTTAAATGCTTTGTTAGTTTAATGCCAGATAAAACTGAACACACACTTTCAATAATGTTGCACTTTGTTCTGGTCAAGCGACCGAACATTTTCATAATCTCGGGGATGAACAGGATGTTTTTCTCAACGGATGAAACCTTCATCCTCTCAGTGATGGATAGTTTTTCCCCCTCTCTTTCATATTATTGAACATAGTGCATGAGTTTCACTTGGAGCCTATGTAAAAAGGTCATGGCGGCACCTATGCAAAATTTTTGATTGACAAACAAGTAGTAGTCAACACCCTTTCGACTGTAGGAAAATTGGATTTGCTGATGTTTTGTAGGCCCCATCACTGCCAGAGTTTATTTTTTTTATGGCAAGAATGCCTTCCTCTTTAATACCTTTAACTAAGGCAAGTCAGGTCTGAAGTGCTTTCAATGCTGTGTTTGATTCTTTTATGACTCCTCGATGCATCGTAAAAAAACAAAAAACAAAAAAGTTGGAAAGTAGTTGACTACTGGGAAAGTTCTCTCTTCCATGTTTTCTCCATGCGTTGATTATGGTTGTTTATTGGATTCCTAAAGAAGTATAAATTGTTGTATAATCCTCTCATAACTGGTAGATGTTTTTGACTTTCCTTCTCATCAGTTCTTTAATTTAATTTATTTTGCTTTGCTTGACTTTTTTATTATCCTTCATGTTATCAGACAGGCTCTATTCCAATTACAGGTGCTGGTCATAAAATTAGAATATCATGAAAAAGTAGATTGATTTCAGTAATTCCATTTAAAAAGTGAAACTTGTATATTATATTCATACATTACATACAAACTCATATATTTCAGATGTTTATTTTGTTTAATTTTGATGATTACAAATGACAACAAATGAAAATCTCAAATTCATCATATCAGAAAATTAGAATATTACTGAAGACCAATAAAAACAAAGGATTTATAGAAATGTTGGCCAACTGAAAAGTATGAACATGAAAAGTATGAGCATGTACAGCACTCAGTATTTAGTTGGGCCTCCTTTGGCCTGTATTACTGCAGCAATGCGGCGTGGCATGGAGTCGATCAGTCTGTGGCACTGCTCAGGTGTTATGATAGCCCAGGTTGCTCTAATAGTGGCTTTTAGCTCTTCTGAATTGTTGGGTCTGGTGTATTGCATCTTCTTCTTCACAATACCCCATAGATTTTCTATGGGGTTAAGGTCAGGAGAGTTTGCTGGCCAATTAAGAACAGGGATACCATGGTCCTTCAACCAGGTACTGGTAGCTTTGGCACTGTGTGCAGGTGCCAAGTCCTGTTGGAAAATGAAATCTGCATCTCCAAAAAGTTGGTCAGCTGCAGGAAGCATGAAGTGCTCTAAAACTTCCTGGTATGTGGCTGCGTTGACCCTGGACCTCAGAAAACACAATGGACCAACACCAGCAGATGACATGGCACCCCAAACCATCACTGACTGTGGAAACTTTACACTGGACTTCAAGCAACGTGGATGAAGTGCCTCTCTTCTTTTCCTCCAGACTCTGGGACCTTGATTTCCAAAGGAAATGCAAAATTTACTTTCATCAGAGAACATGACTTTGGACCACTCACCAGCAGTCCAGTCCTGTTTCTCTTTAGCCCAGGCAAGACGCTTCTGACGCTGTCTGTGGTTCAAGAGTGGCTTGACACAAGGAATGCGACAGCAGAAACCCATGTCTTTCATACGTCTGTGTGTGGTGGTTCTTGAAGCACTCACTCCAGCTGCAGTCCACTCTTTGTGAATCTCCCCCACATTTTTGAATGGGTTTTGTTTCACAATCCTCTCCAGGGTGCGGTTATCTCTCTTGCTTGTACACTTTTTTCGACCACATCTTTTCCTTCCCTTCGCCTCTCTATTAATGTGCTTGGACACTGAGCTCTGTGAACAGCCAGCCTCTTTAGCGATGACCTTTTGTGTCTTGCCCTCCTTGTGCAAGGTGTCGATGGTCGTCTTTTGGACAACTGTCAAGTCAGCAGTCTTCCCCATGATTGTGTAGCCTATAGAACTAGACTGAAAGACCATTTAAAGGCTTTTGAAGGTGGTTTGAGTTAATTAGCTGATTAGAGTGTGGCACCAGGGGCCATCAATTTTGAACCTTTTCACAATATTCTAATTTTCTGATATGATGAATTTGAGATTTTCATTTGTTGTCATTTGTAATCATCAAAATTAAACAAAATAAACATCTGAAATATATGAGTTTGTATGTAATGTATGAATATAATATACAAGTTTCACTTTTTAAATGGAATTACTGAAATCAATCTACTTTTTCATGATATTCTAATTTTATGACCAGCACCTGTATTCTACAAGTGCGATAAGCTCGGTTTATCAAAAGGAATTATTTATTTTTTCCACATCGTCCACTTTGGTTTAAGCAACACTTTCTGATCATAACTAAAGCCATTAAAAAAAAGTAATTTTGTATTTATTCAGGTTGTCATTTATACAACGAAATGTTGGAGGATTTGAATATTTGCAGCTCCATAGATCTCAGTAATTTTATCAGCAAATAGATTTTCCTTAGTTTAATAGAGTTGTTGTTTCAACAAGGTAAATAGACGGTTTATGTAAATATAACAGCCTCTCTGGCTGACTAAAACACTGTGGAGAGTTCTTCTCTGAAGTATTTACAGCATGAAAATGGAAATGTTGAACTGTGGCTTCATTGTTGGAATTCAGCAGAAAAACTCCCCAGTGTGCATAAATGCACACATCATGCAAAATAAGTCGCTCCCCTTTTTTTTATCAGCTTGTTTTTTTATATAGGAAGCACTCAAATTTACCTGCAACTCCTCCTGATAGCAGTTACATCATAGAGGAAAACAAGATATTTTATTGTTGCATCTTAATTTCAATGTATCTAATTTCATGTAAGCTGCTTTAATGTTCCAGATGTAGAGATGATTTACAGCTGTTTACGTGGAGCTTAAATAATGAGGAAGACTCTGGATATCAGAGAAACTTAACAATCACTCACCTTTATGTTTCTTTTTCTGTTAATTATTCTGTCCTCACAGGAAGACCCAGGCTAGCACTGCCACACAAATCCTCATCCACTTGATCTGTGCCTTGCTCCTGCTGAATTTAACTTTCCTCGTCAATCACTTTGTGGCAGACATGAACAGTGAGGTGGGTTGTGAGGTGATGGCAGCGGTGATGCACTACTGTATGTTGGCCACTTTCAGCTGGTTTGCTGCACAGGGCTTCCACCTCTGTCTGCAGCTGCACAGGGGAGGAAATATTACCATAAGGCGCTACGTACTCAAAGTCTCCGTTTTCACCTGGAGTAAGTAAATCATACTGTAATAAAACCTGGACTTTTTAGGAATTTAGAGATTAATTTTTGCAGCTTTCTGATGGCTTACTTGATACTAACTTGGAAATTTTATGAAATGTAAAAATTATTTTATGGGTTTAAGTGGTTAGTTATTGAAATCTACCCTAGAAATTACTATTATGAAAGGTGCCAGGTACTTTTATGTGACTTTGATTAAAATGACCAGGTGCTTTCTTTCAAACGGGTCATTGTGGACAATAATCCCTTTTGGAAAGGGGATCCAAACCTCCTGTTTGAATCCCAGGTCAGTTTGAAGCTCAGTTTATCCTTCCAGGGAGAGAAGGTCCGAGAGATCCAGTTAGCAGGATGACTTCCTGCCAAGAGGCAAAGACAAACAAAGTTAAACTCATGTTGACAAAAACTCAGCTTGACTCAGCAAACTCAGCTTGGCTAGAGTACCCTAAACTAGCAAGCACTCTGGTGTTGAAGTAGTGGCAGTCAGCAGCTTAAAGGAATAGTACTCCCAAAACATGATTAGCCTTCATTTTCTACTGACCCCCATGCTGAACAACACTCTGGAGTACTTTTTTGATATCTCAAATGCATCTGGAGATCTGGGAGGCTTCTTGCTGTCTGCTGACATTCAAATAATGGAGGTCCATGGTGCCCGAGACAGAAAGGTCCATAAAAGTCCACAAAAAACGTGTCAATATTCCTCCATACTGCTCGTCCAATGTATTCCAAGTGTCCTGGGTAGCATCCAGAATTTACTCGAAACAAAGTCATTTAGAATGTTTTTAGAGCATAAACAGTAGTGTATAGGATTTCCTGAAAGCGCGTTCACGACGCTACGGAAACCGCGGCAGACCAAACCAAATGAAAGTGCACATTCAGCGTCTGCTCTGCCAATAATGCAAGCGTAGAAGAAGAAATGTGCTGTTCACCTGTGCAAAGAAAGAAACAACGAAAGAAAAATGTCTGAGGACTTCAGTGTTGAGGAAGAGCATGAGTTCTTTGCCGAGCTGAATGTGCACTTTCATTTGGTTTGGTCTGCCGCGGTTTCCGTAGCGTCGTGAACGCGCTTTCAGGAAATCCTATACACTACTGTTTATGCTCTAAAAATATTCTAAATGACTTCGTTTCGAGTAAATTCTGGATGCTACCCACTCAGGACACTTGGAATACATTGGACGAGCAGTATGGAGGAATATTGAAACGTTTTTTTGTGGACTTTTATGGACCTTTCTGTCTCGGACACCATAGACCTCCATTATTTTAATGTCAGCAGACAGCAAGAAGCCTCCCAGATCTCCAGATGCATTTGAGATATCAAAAAAGTACTCCAGAGTGTTGTTCAGCATGGGGGTGAGTAGAAAATGAAGGCCAATCATGTTTTGGGTGTACTATTCCTTTAAGAACACTCCGTTTAATGAGAAGACCATCCGCAGGTGTGTAAGAGGGATTGTGGGATGTAGAGTACAGTACAGGAAGTATTTTGTGATGCTATTTTTATTTCAGATGACTTTACTTTATAAGATGAGTTTTGTCACTTTTTTTTATCTGCTTTTCCAGCTCTGCCTGGTATTTTGGTGATTATTCTGGGCAGCTTGAGAAAATACGGTAAACAGACCATCTACACTGACGACCCTGAAAACAACGTGGCAATGTGAGACTATAGATATCTCCTCCAGACATACAATCATTTGAATTTAGGATTCACTAAAAGTTGCATTGTCTTGCTTTGTAAAGGTGCTGGATAACGGACAATAACATCCACTACGTCGTCAACATTGGCTACTATTCGCTGGTCTTCCTCTTCACCATCACCACCGTCATCATCATTCTGTCCTGGCTCTGTTGTCTCAAGAAAACCAAGGCAGCCAGCCCAAAGGAAAACAGAAGTGGCAGCAGGATAGTGATCATCATGGGTCTTTGTTTCCAGCTCGGGGTCACGTGGGGTTTTGCTTTCTTCGCCTACGGGGACTTTCGGATGATAGCCACCTACATTTTCACAGTCCTCAACTCTTTCCAAGGTACTTTTTTAAAATTAGTCTGTATTTGATGTTTGATTACTGAATTTAAACATTTGGGACACTTTTTACTAGATATAGAAAACTGGACTGAACACTGAAAAAAATCTAGTCTTGAAAAAAACCTAAAAATGGAAAAGATTAATAAGGTACTTTATGCAGTCTAGTTGGTTGTAAATAGGACATGGAAGAGAAAATGAGAAAATTACATAAAGTTTCAGAAAAAAACACAAAGAAGTGTGAAACATTTCAAAAAAGGCTCATCATGTCGTCTAAGAAATCAGGTTGGAAGGTCAGTATGTGGAAAAGCTGGAGGAATTTAGTTTGTTTTAATAGTATTAATGCCGTTTAGCAACATGCAGTTTTATGACCGCCAGTGCATAAAGGATTGGCTCTGTCCCCTCGGTAGGAAAACAGTTTTTTTATGTTTACATTTAAATATAAAGCATATCACGTATTTAACCATCAGCTTGCAAGATTTTAAAAATAGCCTGGATTAAATAAATGGTGGTGACTCACCAACATAAATTTGTGAGGGACCGAGATGAAAAGCATGAGGAGTCACAGGAATTAATTCAAAAATATTTTTTTTTATTTTTGACCCAAAAAAGAAGCTTACAAAAAATACATGGATTCAAGTCATAAAAGAGGCCATCCAAAAAGAGAAAACTTAACTCAAGCAAACTGTGCCCACACTAACTGGCTGCATAAACAAACATACACTGGAAAAACGATCTAGAAATAAGTAAAAATGTCTTAAATTAAGCGTATTTACCATTAACATGAGATGGTAAATGAGATAGTTTGCCAATGGGATGAGTTTTTTTACTCTTAAAATAAGATATTTAGCTCATATGCACTTGAAATAAGACAATGCAATTGTGTTTTCTTATTTTAAGTGTAAATTGTCTTGTTCCTTTGGCAAAATGTCTCTTTTATCTCCTGAATCCACGAACAAACGCACCTATTTTAAGAAAAAATTACTTTTCTAGATTTCAGTTTTTTCCAGTGAAACTGACCTAACAAAGAAATGACACACAAGGGTATATATACACACTGGCTGATCAGACCATTAACACAATAGGGGTAATTCAAACTAAACAAACAACCACAAATTACAAACATTGGCAGTACAGTTAGGTTTGGCAAAAAACTAATCTATATCTTACAAAAATAAAAAACACACCAACCGCAAAACAAATCCTAAGTGAAAAATGCATAAAAAATTAGAAAAGGAAAATTCAAATTCCCCCTTTAAGCTGCACCTGATGGAACAGTCCAATTTCCCCTCCTGCATTTAGCAGATCTGAACCCTGGCTGCCATCTTTTAACCTGACAACAGCCAGATGCATGTCTCGCTCCAGTGGAGCTAGGCGGAGCGAGACATGCATCTGGCTGTTGTCAGGTTAGCCATCTTTGTCTGGCCAAACTCCTAGGCACCATAAGTAAGAAACATTAGTGACAAAAACAAAAAGAAATATGAATGAGTGCAAACAAATACAGTGAACTAAATGTGCGCGCTTACTAATAGAACACGTGCATTTGAACTAAGAATAAAGTTTTATTGCAAACTAAAGTATGTATATGGAGTAAATAAATAAAGGTGCATGTATAGTCCAGACTTAAGGTGTGGCCATGGGTTTGGCCATCACAGTCTTGAAAAGGGCTTGTAACTAAAATGTCTCATAATTCGTTTTCTTTTATCTTGAAAAGTGAGAATCTTCCTCTTTTGTTTTTGGCAGGTTTCTTCCTCTTCATCTATTACTATAAGACGAGCCGAGTTTCACCAAATGCCACCGATGAGAAGGGTAATAGCAGCAGCGTCAGCACCCTGAAGTCCGGACTGGAGAACATTGTGAACCCCTATGTGTCTTTTGAGAAAGAGAAAGCGAAGTGATTTAAAATGCGGGAAAGAGATTCCAAAAAAGGTAGTTATCCATGTAAAGTACTGTCCTTTAGTGATATTTATCCCCTGATTTATATTATAAAAACTTTAGTTTAAGAAGTATTTTGTCTAAAATAAAAGGCATGTCAATCCATTTTTCTTTTAAGTACAAAGTAAATATTCAACCCAACAGCATGTAAATAAGTTTCCTTTAAACAGGACATGATTTCTATGCTTTAACGGTAAAAATGTTACCACTCTTTTTAAAAATGTTAAGCAGCCTTTTGCAAAAAGTTCTCATTGAATTGTTTGCATGTCGTATTTCCTCCCACTGTTTGGATTTTCCTGGAAACCAGCGAAACTTCAGCTCTATTAATCAGGGAAGTTATGTGGATTTATCTTTATTGTACATTGTATTTATCCTAAACAATACTGCATAGGTTTTTATTATTGAATAAATATTGTATTAGTGTGATTCATGTTTATACCTTTTATTGTAATAGAGTTTGTTATAAGTTCAACAAGTTTGCTGTTCAGTTTGTGACTATTTTACTGTTTATTCTTAAAACTAAGGGGAAATAAAAAAATGTAAAAATCATAACTTCTGTTTATTCGTGTTTTGTTGTGCTACTGGATCCCAAAAAGGTTAACAAAAGAGTAATAATGTAGTAATTAGAATGTTAGTTTTTATTTACTTTTGTTAGGTTTCTGTTTCTGTTATGATTTTCTTTTTAGTATTCAGTCTTCTTGGTTTTCCATTTGTTGTCCTCTGCTGCCCTCTTGTGTCCTCTTTCCCTTGCTCTGTTTTCTGTTCTGCCCTCACCTGTTTCCAATTCCCTCGTTAGCCCTCTCTTTGTCTCTGTCCCCTTTAGAAGCCCTCCCTCTTCAGTTCTTGTTTGCTGGATCCTCGTCTAACGTCTGTCTGCTTTCCTCGTCTCTCCCTTGCTCCTAGAGTTTTGGTTTTCCCCTGATGTCTCCTTGGTTCTGGTGCGTTTGTTATTTTCTGTTGGATTTTTGATTCCTGCCCCGGTTCCTTTGAACATCATTAAACCCACCTAAATTCACCTCTGCCAACTTGCCTCTGCTTTTGGGTCCTCAACCCAACACCGCTTCATGACAACTTTCGTGGAAACTAGGAACGTTTTACTCGTTCTGAATTTTTTTTTCAAAATTGTTTCGTAGCTTTAATTAAAAAACAAACAAACAGTTTTTAAATTGCACTGTCATTTTTAAGAGACACAGCATAGGGAGTTTATTGAAAGTTCAGGGTGTGGTACAAAGTCCCCTTCTATGTTTGGATGTTTTTGAATGAACTCAGCTTTTTAAATCTCAACACTGAACATTCTCACAATTTCAGAACTCTTAAAGAAACTTGGGAAATAAGTGTGCATTTAAATAGAAAATAACCAAAGTATAACACAAGTGGAAAAATAATCGAAGGCGGTTTGCCAGATTATTAATTTAATGTGCAAATAATCCAGAAATCTAAAATCAACCACAGGAGAAATATGCAGACAACACTTGTCTTTGGTAAATTGTGATTACACTCGATATTTCTGAATTGATTTTGTTCAATCTATTCCTAATAACAGCAGTTTTATTTGTGAATGTAACAAGACAGTAATAGATGTGGATTATGTGGAGGAACAAACTTAAACTTTTCAGAGTATCCCTAGCTGTGACACATCTAAATGTTTAAATTTTAACTCAAGTAAAAGTGCAAATTTTAAAACCACTTAAATTATGAAAGTAATGCATCAAAAAATGTTAAGCATAGATGCTTTAAACCTTTTACTGGTTACTGCACAACTGCATAGGAGGACAATTTCTCTATAACTGATGGCAACACTGTCAAATTTAACTTTGCATTATCTTAAACAGCTATTTATTTTGGTGCAGTAGAGTCCAACTACAAACTAATTGTCTGAATGAAACTTTTTTTTTAATGGATTTTAATTTTAGATACCCAATGAAAATTAGCTTAAATGACAAAAAACTAACGAGTCTATTCAGCAGAAGTAAAAAATTGTCTGAAAAAGCAATTACTCGACCAAAGTATAGATAGCCAGAATTTCTACTTAAGTTAAGAAAGTATTTGTCCTTTGTTACTTGACACCTCTGATCATAAAACACATTTTGTAGAATAAATAACTGATGGAAACATGATAATGACAGATTGTGGAGGGATGTTACCTATCAGAGCTTCCTTTTGAGGGGTGAAAATTTCTGCCAGGTTATTCTTCATCTCCTCAATTGAAGTGAAATAACAATGCTTCACATTTCACTGCTTCACGTGGTAAATATGTGAATGTTAAAGTTTCCAGAAGCAGAGCAAATGGGGCAGAAACATGTCTATTTGGATTTAGACTAAATAATTTTTTTTAATGCTGGGTAGAAGTAAACATACACTGCAAAAACGATCTAGAAATAAGTAAAACTTTCTTAAATTAAGTGTATTTATCCTTAATTTCAGTAGGTAAATGAGATGATTTGCCAATGGAAAAAGTGTTTTTACTCTTAAAATAAGATATTTAGATAATATGCACTTGAAACAACACAATGAAATTGTGTTTTCTTATTTTTAATGTAAATTGTCTTGTTCCATTGGCAAGATGTCTTTTTTTTACCTCCTCATTTCAAGAACAAATGCACTAATTTTAAGAAAAAATTACTTATCTAGATTTTGTTTTTTTCCAGTGTATCAGCTTATCTTAAACTGGAGGTTATTTTCGGTATAAAAGTGACCTAGTCGCACCTCAAGTTGTTTTTTGTATTGGGTAGGGAGGCTGAATATAAAGTCTATGTTTGTAAAATAGAAGGAAAATGGATGAGGGGAAATCCACAGTAAAGTTGTGTCCTTATTAATGATAAATTGGGAAAAATGCATTAAATGCTGCAGTAAAATCAATCAATCCTGCTTTGAATCTCCAGCTTCATCTGTTATTTTTAAAGTCAAAGATAAGAGCGGTAAGAAAATAACTTGCAATGCTTTGGGAATAAAGCAATAATGACTAAACTTAAAAAAATAATAAAATAGTCCAACACAGTGTTTTTTTTTTTTTATTATCACAATTTAAACGTTTAAACATTTAAACAGCAAGTCAAAGATATATACATATGTTCAGCACCCAAAGAAGATGACCAGCAAGTAGAACAAAACAAAAACCCATCAGAATACATTTTTATTAGGATTTAATGAAATAAATTTAATAAACTAAAAATGTTTTACTGATTAGTAAGTAACAAAAGGCGTGATTTGACCAAGCCCAACAGTTTTAATTTTTACAGAAAATGCAGTTTTTTGTTTACTAATGTAAATGCACTGCAGAGATAAACTGGCATTTAGGATTGAATAACCTGAAAAAAAAATTAAAGGGAATAAAAAAATATACATTTATTTGATTTATTAACAAAAGAATTAACTCTACTGATGTTATGAAAGCAGAGTTTGGTGGAGCTTCTTGATGATCCTTGTAAAAAGGTTCCTTCCTGGACTCATTGAAGCCACAACTTCCTCAATCTGCTGGATCCTAGAGATAGATCACAATGATTAAACATTACAATGTGGTTTTTGGCTGGTTTTGGATGATATACAAGATGCGACCAGGGGTAAATTTACTACAGCAAACTTTTAGGTTCATATTTTATTTTTCTTCCCTAGTTTAAAAAGCCTTAACCAAAAGAATTGCTCATTAGCAGTCCTGCAGAACCCGATCACATGGATTCAACTGGATTCAGCCATTTTATTCAACTTCTAGAGCAGGAACACATTTAAAGACACTGTTGCGAAATATTTTATATCAATTGGAAAAAAAAACACAAAACATTTAATTTTTGCTTTCTTGCATTAGTTTACTAGAGATATTAAAATAACCAGATCCCTAAGATTAACTTGTGAGACGCTGAATACTGTTTTTAGTCTTTCTGCTCAAGAAGTTTGAAACATAATATATATGAAGAAAGTTGTTTAGCAAAGGAAGATAAAATAATCAGATAAAAATAAAAACTAACTGCAGCCACAGACTGATAATCTAAATTTTGCCTTAAATAATCACAGCTATCATATATTTCTTAAATATTGGAGGGACTTTGTCAAGTAATGCCTGTCTATAAACAATATATATAGTTTAACATTTACTAATCCTGACTATTCCCATCTCTGCTCTACTTACGTTGTGCTCCCTATCACGTTTTTAAAGCTCTGCACATGGAAGACGCAGCTCTGGTTGGTCAACGCAGCTTCAAAGATCACCTCAAACTTGGTAAACTTCCTCAGGCTGCTGAAGACAATGTGAACTCTACAAGAAGAAGAAAGAATATAAAATTATGGCATAAAGTTACATTGCATTTTTCGCTGATGTATGATTTACTGGGTTGCATTCAGACAAAGTAAAGTTCTAGTCATCCTCTGTGTAGTAAAGTCCTTACTGGGTCTCTGAGCAGCTGAGATCCAGGATATCAAACCGAAGACTCCCCCACGTCTTCAGGAGACGTATCTCTTCTCCAAAAAGGCGGCAGCGGCCCACCGCCAAGCTGACTTCACGAAGAAGCTGAAGGAAACAAACAAGAGAACTTCAGCTTGAATTTTAAACAAACTAACCAAATAAAAAAATAGTGTGATGAAACTTATTTTCTCTGATTTCAATCATACCAGAACACTGCAAAAAGTCTAAATCTAGATAAGTCATTTTTTCTTCAAATAAGTGCATTTGTTCTTGCATTGAGGAGGTAAAAGATACATTTTGCCAATGGAACAGGACAATTTACACTTAAAATAAGAAAACACAGTTGAATTCTCTTATTTCAAGTGCATATTATCTAAATATCTTATTTTAAGAGTAAAAATACTCATTCCATTGGCAAATCATCTAATTTACCTACTCAAATTAAGGGTGAATACACTTAATTTAAGAAATTTGTACTTATTTCTAGCTCGTTTTTGCAGTGAAGGAGCTAATTATCTCTGTGTTCCTTCCTTGAATAGCTTTAGCTAAGAGAGCTAGCCTTTGTTTAAAGAGTATCTGGAATCTGCAAAAACTAGCATTTTCACACCAACCTGTGGAACATGTTGACTTGTGGGATATTTCTCCACCCAGCAGGACTCTCCCTCAACGTACCCAGAGACTAATTTATGAACAAGGCGGGCGTGACAATATGACTTCTCATCTGGTTGGAAAAAAGTCAATACATTTTTTAAATTAAGTTAGTAAGATGTGCAGAAAATATAGCCAGAGAAGAACCGCCATGCTTGGCAGAACAGCATTAATATTAGCATTATTTGCAGCATTAGCTCAACAAATCCTTTTCTCACCCAGATTAAATTCAAAGCTGATATTTGCCATTTTCTTCTCAGATCTGCTCTTCGCATCATCTCCTTAAACATAAAAAAATAAAAGAACTCAGGGGATGGGAAACACTGATTAATGCTTAAATAAACGAATGCAGTAAAAACAAAGTGACACAGATGGACAATAGGAACACATTTGATAATAAAAGAAAAAGGCTTGGATAGGGGCTGCACAATATTAGGAAAACATGCAATATGTAATAATATTGGTAAATATTACACTAGTGTGTAAAATATAAACTCATATTTGGAAAATATTAGCCAATAATTATTTCATTCCAACAACCCTTTGTGAGATGCATATTACACACACTGCTCACAATTAAACAATGCATTATGCAGATATGGTGAGTCTAGCTTTCTTTACAGTTATCTGAGAGAAAAAAATGTGTTTTTAAAATAATAAGTCAGTTTCAGCTTAACAAAAACAACCTCTCCAGAGCTGTCCAGTAAACAAAGACATCAAGACCGCTGGATCCAAAACGCTGAAATAGAAGCTAATCTTATTTTCTGCCACTGAAAACTTTGCTCTTTTTTTTGTTGAGTTTTGACTTAACAAGAATCGAGCTTCATGATAAGATGACCTTGATCTATTTTTTTTCCCCCTGTTTTTCACTATGATTTTTAAAGGAATCATCTCTTCAAAATGTCCATAAAATGTTTATTTTAAAGTGTAATTTTTCCTTGTCCACCTTTTCCCTTTTGGAGTGAACTGCAAAAGAAGTAAACAGAAAACCACTCCAAAAGGGAAAATACGGAAGAGGATTAGGGCCACTGAAGAAAAAAAACAAACAAAAGTTAACTGATTTTTAAATTTTATTTCGGTTTAACATGGGAAAAAAAGTCAAAATTCCGACTTTTTTCTCAGAATTCTGACTTTTTTCTCAAAATTCTGACTTTTTTTTCTCAGAATTCTGACTTTAATCTCAGAATTCTGACTTTTTTCTCAGAATTCTGACTTTAATCTCAGAATTTTGGATCTTAATGTAGACGGGCACCATGAAGGAAGAGATGTGGAGCACTCAGCTTCACTGACAAAGATGTGAGTTGTTTGAGAGGGCCAGTGACACATGGTGGAACATGACGGAATTAGGCAACTATTTACGTGCCCGAGGAGTCCCCTCATTAATGGAGGAGCAGAAGGTCATTAAAACAGGAAGCTGGTCTCTAAAACAGACATGGCTATGGCTTGATGCTAACATGTTTGTTAGCTGTCAGAATTCTGAGAAAAAAAAATCTGAATTCTGAGAAAAAAGTCAGAATTCTGACTTTTTCCCATATTAAACTGAAATAAAATTAAAAAATTTGTGAACTTTTTTTTTTTTTTGGTGGCCCTAATCCTCTTCTGTAGGAAAATGTTGCAGTAATGTCTGGGTGACATTTTCAGTCGGGCAGCACATCCTTGGCCGTCCCTGTAGTATTTAGTTGACACAAAGACAGCTGCTCATATTCAGGTAGGTTGAAACAGAGTACATACAGCACCAAACTGCCTCTATGTGTTGAAATGATGAAGGAATTACAGCCTGGCGTCCACAAATATGTGGATCATGCACTACATGTTGACTACATAAAGTCCTTTAGTCACTTGGCATTATATGTAGAGGTATAAAGACATAACACAAACATTTGGGTGAATCTCCTGTACTCCTTTCTTCACTAACTTATCAAAAGTGGATATTTTCAAAGTCCAAACTTAAGACTGCAGAGAATCCTGGAGGTGACACTATGGCATAAAAGTGTTTAAACCAATCATGGTTTTATTTTAACTTTTCTTCTTCAAAGCGTTTAAAATAATCCAAGAATCTCACCAGTGTTTTTTTCATACACCAAACGCAGAAACATAGTCTTATAAAGGAACGTGTAGACTGAACCGGTGTCCTTGTTTTCTTCAAGCCTCCATTCATTTATCCTAATAAAATAAAAATAAAAAGACAGGTGAATTTCCAGCATACTCTTGAACAAAAGTTAGAAACTTCCCCAACCAGAGGATAAACTGACATATCCAGCACGTCATTGCGGCTTTGCAGGTCTTTCGCTTCACTTTTAAGTCTATTCAGATCCTTTGACTTCTTCTCGTTCTCAAAAACCAGTTCGGATATTTGTCTGAAACAACAAACCAAACGCATTTTAAGGCATATCACTAAAAAAGAGTTCATCTATACGAAGGTACATGAAAAAGAGAATGTTTTAACTCACCTCTCACTGTCCGCCAACGTTTCAGTGACCTTTGACATTTCTACCATAATACAACAGGTTTAATATTAATTTCATAGAGGTTTAAAGTGACAACTTTAAACCAGATTTACCAAGACTTACCTTCCTGTAGTGATGTTAGACCTGGTTTGTCCTCAGAGCCTTTTCCCTCGACTGCATCAAGTTCTGAATGAAGAGAAGAAACAAGTAAAGTGGAGCAGCTTGTCCCTTTTATGCACTTTTCATCCAAGGGGGGAAAGAAATGTCCTCAGGTGGTTCATGTCATGTCCTTTGCAGAAAGCATATATTGTCATTACAATAAAAACCTGTGCAGTCATTAAATGCATAAAGCAAAGGACCATTCAGAATGCAATAACGACGGATTATGTATTCAAAGTGGTAGGACTTGCATTTTCATGCTTAAACATTAAATATGAAATCGTAATTGTGAGGCTAAGGTATGGTTATAATACTGAGATGGAAAGATATTAGCAATGCCCTAAGATACAAAATGATGCTTCAGGGATAATGGAACACTTGCGAGCAATCCAAAGTCAAACAGGAAGCATCAATCATATGCAGAAAACATTTAAAGGTCATGCTCGGAGAATTTAATAAACACCCAAGAGCTACCGGTCAGACACTAAAGGCTTTACAGCGCATGATGCATGGGGTTGGGCAAGAAGATGATACCAAAGCAGAGGTGGTTTTGACTGGGACATGTTTGGTGAGAACAAAATGGAGGTTTGTATTTTTTCCACAAAGACTTTCATTTTGGCATATGCTTGGTGCAAACAAATGTGATTTGCGTTTAGGTACACTGTTGAACACTTACTGAAATAATTTTAGTAAAGCCTTCCTAAGCCGCTTTATGTCTGGTATTGATTTTTTGTACTGTTGCGGTAGACAAGTTACCCCGCCTCCACTGTGCGCCTACCTGCTTCTAATTCACCGATACATTCGTCCAAACTTCGAATCATCTGATCTGCCTGATTGAGTTTTCCCCTCAACTTCTGCTGTTCCTCCTAAAAAAAGAAAACAAACTGAATACAAAAAATCTTAACCGGTACAGATAAGCTCAAATTTATTTTGCAAAGGGTCTCTCACCAGATTGGCTACAACCAAATTAGCGTAGAGCACCTCCTTCATTTCATGACCCTGTTCTTTGCTATGTTTTCTGAAGAAGTTGTGTCTTTCCTTTAGCTTGGCACCAAAGGACTGGAACTGTTAATAAAAGAAAAATAAGGGAAATTTTTTTTTACATAATCTTGAGGAAAAGTGCAGTTTTCATGGAGTCAATGGAAAATATATATATATAAAAAATAAATGTCACCTCTTTTTCTGTGAATTTCAGCACTTCTTCCCACAGAGATTTATTAACAGTCTTTAAGGGTTTGCCTAAATCCTGCATTTGATACTTAAGCCTAGTACAGGACAAAAACAAAGTGAGCTTTAAATGCATGTTCACATTTGGAGAACAGAAGTGGTAAATATATAGCTTTAAATATCATTTAAAAAAGAGAGAAAAGAAAACAAACATTCAATAAAATGTAAGAAATGTAAGAAAATTATTTTAAAAGAGTACACACCCTTCCACTTTTTCTCTTAGGCTCTGAACATCTTTCTCATAGATCTTCTGTTTCGGATGGTTTATATATTTGTCTTTAAGTGAATCTAATGATGTTTTATCCGTGCTGGAAGAAAGCTATAGGAGCAAAAAGAAAACAGACTCAGCAAAGAGTGAGGGTTTATGACATTAAATCATAAAAACAAAGGAGACATACTCTGCCTGGAAGGACGCTCTGCCGACAGTTATGGATGAAAACATCTATTCTTAAGAGATTGAAGAACTCCAATAATGTAATTGTGCCATCTTCAAGTTTCTGTAATTGATACAAATAAAAATATTAGAACAGGAACTATAGTTTCAAACTTGTTTTAAAACCAAGGTAAAATTAAAATAAAAATACCGTAAGTTTATCGCCGCTGTAGTCTTCAAGCTGGGATTCAAACAGGCTGTGTTTAAACGCTAGAAAATATTGAAAAATGACTGAGGGTAAGTACACGGCAGACAAATAAGAATATTAATCATTTTAAAGTATGGGATCTTAACTGGACTCAGGCGCAATTTCACTTCTGCTGCTGCCTGCGGGACTGCTGTTGGAGGAATCAATGGTCTGAGTATCAATCCCAGAGACGTTGCTCTCAGAGTCAGCTTCGGTCTGAAAGGCCTGTAGGGAGATAAAACAGATAAGAGCATGACTTTGGAGCATTACAAAGTAAATTATTCAGGAACTATGAAATTCCATTTTCACTCATCACTGACTAATTTCAAATTATGTTATCTTATGTTAGAGGTTTAACTTGATATGCATGAAGTCAAAAACCCTCACTACCATCTCTACTGGAAGAAATCTTAGAAGAGAAAATATTAAGAAGCATTTTTAGAAGTCTTTTAATATCTGTTGTAAATAAACCTAAGGAATATAAACATAATTTACAATCACATCTATTTTTTTCTCCTTTATTTGATCAAAGATGTTTTCACCTATTCTTCATTGGACCTTTTCTATGGGTTAAAAGATCTAAGGTCACAACTGAAAATATTGATCACCATTTTGCTTTAAACACTGCATTACAGATGCTTATTTATAATTGAAATGGAAAAGCTACAAATGATCTAGATAACCATTTCAAGAAAACACAGGACACAACTTGAGTTAATTGCTGACATACCGTTTCAGATAACTCTGTGGACATCTTTTGTCTCTTCTCATCCTCCTTATAGTCTTCACTTTCAAGCAGGGACCTCTTTTGTCTCTGGCTGCTGACCATAAAATCTTCCATAACAACATCCTGCTCTAAAGGCTGTGACCTGAAGACTGGATTGGAAGTGCTGTCCTTTGTAGGAGTATTTTCAAGATTTGTGGTGTCAATCATTTCAGAAAAATCTTCACAGTCAAGCAGCTCTTCATCCTGAATACAGATGTTATCCTCTCCACTCAGCTGATTGGTGGCATTGATGGTGAATGTCTTTGTAGGTTCTCTATCAGAAGCAGACTTCTTTACCTGATCTGCACGTTTTCTTTTGGGAAGCTTTGGTTTAAAACCTCCCACTGAAAGTCTTGACATTAGCTGTTTTGTCTTTAAGCTAGAAAGAGTCATACTGGGTGCAACAAAGGGCTGTTCTGCTGTTGTAGGCTTTTCAGCTTCAGCATCATTCATATAGTTTCTTGAACCCACTTCAACCTCTGGCTCTACTGGTGATGAGGTTTTGCATTTTGAGTTTTCGTCCAGATGAGGCAACGGAGCTGTGCAAGTTTCCATACCATCTTCATCAGGAGCTGTATTTATGAAGTGGCTCAAACGCCTGATATTTGACTTGATATCAGCTAAACTCTTTCGTCTAGACGTCTGTGAAGGTTGTGGACTCTGATCTGCAGTACTAGGTGAGCTCTCCATTGCCTGTTGTACGCATGTTTGAGCTTGTTCTTTTACATCCTCTAGCTCATCTGACTTGGATGCCTCTAGTGCTCCGTTGTTCTCCAAAGTCAAATCTGATTCCTTGAAAGATTTTGAAAGAGGGTCTTGTTTTGAAGACATACTTTGAGGTGGAACATCTGTTGCTGATACCAGACGTTCCATAGGATCCTCAATCATGCCAATACAGGCACCGATTTTCTCAGTCTCAGTTTTATTTGGTGATTTGCCTGCATTACCTGATACCAAGCTTGGGGATTCCTTTTCAGTGTCATGTTCTTCTGTTTTAGGGCAAGAATTGGATTCTGGACATGATGATGCATCTCCTTTAGTATCATCCTGGGCACAGCTTGTCAGAAAGACAGAGCTGTTTAATGCAGCGTGCTCATTGTGGGCCGAGGAAGGTGGGTTTGAATCCAGACCACAACTCTCACTTTCTGTCTCCTTCACAGAAGAGGTATCATTAATGTTCTCTCGCATGGAGGTAATAGGTTGGTCTGACATAAGTGGATCTAATGATTGATCGCTGACAGCATCTGCATTCAGGTAGTGGGTCAGATTCATGGTTGGAACATTTTTGAGGTACTCTAAGGTTTTTTCTGTAGATTTTGGAAAAATGTCAATACTGGGTTGAGACTCTGGGTTTTGATTCTTTAAAATGCTTTTGGTGCCTCTTCTGGTCTTGTCTACTAGGGTATGGTTTATTGCCTCTGCGTTGGCCAGGGAGGAGTCCAAAATCTGGGTCGATTTTTGGTCAGAATCAGTGACGCTGCTTACAGCGTAGCTTTGGGTCACATCCTTTGTAGCATCGCTTGATACGAGCTTTGTCAGATTCTCTTTAGCAGGTGGAAGCTCATTTGAACTTGAAAGGACTTTAAAAGTCCGACTTTTTGCCACATCCTTTTTTGCATCATCTACCCTAAACCTTACATTTTCCTCACTGTCAGTAGGTAATAGGTCAACCTTTTGATGTGGAAGATTTAAACCATGTGCAATGGTCACAGTGTGACTCCCAGTCATGTCCATGTTGGCATCATCCATTGAGAACCTCACAGTTTTCTCTCCACTAGCAGGCAACAGGTTCTCGTTTTGGTGGAACAGTATTTTTAAATCTGTAGAAGCTTCTACTGCAAGACTTCTCATCACATCAATTTCTGCTTTATTTGCATTAAATCTTACGGTTTTCTCTCCAAAGGAGGGCGCCACATTTGGAAGCGAGTGAAATTGTACATCACAGCTAAGGTTGACTGTGTGACATTGAGTGATGTCCATGCAGCCATCAGTGGCAGCAAATCTTACAGTTTTCTCTCCACTGTCTTTAGAATCAAACTCAACCTGAGGGAAGAGCATATACAGACAGAAACCATTCAACTTTAGTAAAATAGGTACTGGCTTTTTAAGAAGAACACTTAAATGGACTTGTGGCTAAAATCATGTGTTTAATCTCACCTTATTTCTTTGCATCATCGTCTTTAAAGAGGTCTTCATTAGAGTGTCTGTAGTTAAAGATGGAAAAAACATGTATTAAAATACCTCCTTTGAGAAATGATAACATTAACACTTTCAAGGTTTATATTTACTGTAGTGGCCCGAGTATAAGACAATGTTTTTTTCATTAAAAACAATGTGAAAATGTGGAGTCGTCTTGTAATTGGGGCCTAACCAATTACACAGTCTGGGGTCGCTACATGAAAGCAACAGCACAGAGCGCCATTTTTTTGAAAAGCAAGTGATCTCACTTTGGCCATCTTTCTATCACAACAGAGAAGAAGTGACAATGGTGCTACAAATGACGAGTCCCTGCCCAGAACAGAGTAGATTAAAAATCAGACAAGTTTGCAGACATTTTAGGCGGAGTTACAACAGCGAATTTAAAATAACAGTGGTCAACCCAGGGGAGGCATCAAACAACAGTCAGTCAGAAAAGAAATACTATGTTACAGAGTACATTGTCAGGAGATGGCACGATCAAAAAGACAGAAAAATGCAAACAGCAGAAGAAAACCTAAGCAAAAATTGCAGAGCTACAGGGTGAGAATAAGAGTGACAGTGAGGCATTGGATGCCTGTGAGTAAAAGCCTCATCTAGGCTTTTGATAAATTCCGTGAGAAAAGTTCAGATTGCATTTGAGTTGAAGTGTTGCAAGATTTCAATTCAATGTGTTATTACTGTTTTTTTTTTAAAAACATGTCATGGTTCAATTGGACAAATCTTTTAATGCAATATCATTTCAAAATTTGTTTTTTTTGGTCTTTTTGTTTTGTTCCTCAAAAGTGGTCCTGGAAAGAGGGGGTGTTCTTATAATCAGAGTTGTCCTATATTCGGGTTAGTACGGTACTTGTCTTTTGAATTATCTCACACCTTTTCACATAACTAACCCTTACCAAAGAGGCATTTTGAAAAAAATTTTAACTATTACTTTACAACCTTTTCAACAAGTGATGATCAAATAGTGAATCTTAAACTGTGAACATGTTTGTCATTACATTACCCGCAGAGTTTGATGCTCTGGAAGCTTCCTCATGCTGCTGATGCTTTATTGTTTCCATCTTCCCACTGACAGTTTGATGCATTTCTCCAGTGGGTGAAATGGCCTGAAGGGCTGCCCGTTTTATTGGCATTTCTACTACTTGGCCAGTCTGATCTCGCGCCACATTCATGCCCGCTTCAGCTCCAAAAATACAACCCGTCTTGGCTTCAGTCATATCCATGTCATCTTCCTGATAAACCGTCCATCCATCAGATGTCTCTGCAGTACCACAGGTTTTTCTTGCAACAACAGCATCACTGTTTTTTACTGTTGTCAAACTTGTGAAAACGTCATCTTCTGCAGGTTCAAAATTGTGAGAGGATGACAATTTTTTGGGGGACAGATCTTCTTGTCTCATAACGGAAGGGACTAAATCTGAAGCTAGAGTAGTTGTCAGGCACCGAGTCATATCCATTTCGGCGTCATCTGCAGCAAACATCACAGTCTTCTCCCCACACATGGGTGACACGCCAACATTTTGGTGAGAATCCAGTCTGATAGCAGTATCGATGTATACAGTATGACTCTGTGTTACATCCAAACAGGAATTGTTAGCAGAGAGTCCCATTTTCCTTTTTCTGTAGTCATCTACTGTCACAACTTTGTCCTGTGGAGAAGTAATATCAGTTAGAGAAGAAAAGTATATCAGATTACAAAAATTACCTTCTTTTAGTAGTCAGGTATTTAGATATTTTCCAATAAAGATTTAGAATATTGCTATAACTCACATTTATTTCTATTAATTTACTTGTGGAAAAAAACTTCCAGCATTAAATGTGAGAAAAAAAATATATAATGCAGATTTTCTTATCTAAGAACAAAAAAATAAAGTTACAGCTATAAAACAGAAAGGTTAAAAAAGCATCAAAGTTGGAACTGAATCAAAATGATTAGATAATCACATTTAGATAAGGCTAGGAAGCCAACAATTTTTAAAAAACAATTCAGAAGCACATAATTGATGCATGTTATTACCGTCCATATCTTTCCATGCATCAATCTTGTTTTATTTTTTTCTATTACAGTAACAATAAAGTGATACTTTATTATAAAGATTATTTAAACCAATATCATTGCTTGGATTAAGAAAATAAACTAATAAAAAAACTATTTAATCTCACCTGATCCCTTTTTAGCTGCATCTTCAAAGACAGCCTTGATTGAGTTTTCATTCCTGGGGAAGAAAAATATTTACAATAAGGTCAATAAATCTAATCAATTTGATCCATTTATACAATTAAATTTACAACAGGAGATCATGCTTTTTCTAGTATAAAGTAAGAATAAACACCAATGACTACATTTTAAATCATCTAAAGCTAATAAAGGCTTACTGAAATAACATTTCTGTTATTTTATGTTTAAAATTACTTGGAGGCTTTTGCTTACAGTTTATGCTAAAGAGCATTTCAATCTGAAAAACTCACATGAAGAGAAAAGACAATTAGAAGAAATGTATTGATAAAATGACTTGGTCTTTGGCGCTCAGACCTCGGCAGGAGACATAGTGCTTAGTTTTGATAGATATGCATGAACAGGAGCAAAGAATAGGGCTGTACCCCCCCAAGGCCTGAAACTGGTGGTGGAGTGGAGATAGATGAAGTTGGTCAGTCTGTAGACTGCTGGTTAGAGAGACGGTCTGCTGAGCTTTATGGGTTGATCCTGTGGACTGCGTGAGCTGATACTAGAGCTTCACTCAGGGACCTGGAAGATGGAAGTCCAGTTGGATAACACAGGTTGAGAGAAACTGTCCATGATGAGCAAGCATGGAGCGACAGTGGAGAGGAAAAAAAATCCCCATAGGGAAGAAACCTCTGGCAAAACCAGGATCAACATGGCGGTCTTCAGCCGGACTGGTTGAAATGAAACGCAGAATGCAGAAAGAGTCCTGGAGTAATGAACTCTGATAAAGTTTTATCTACAATGATGGAGGAGGGGCTGGAGGTGGGTTGAAACGGGGTCATCTGAATGATGTCACAGCACAACCAGGCAGCAGACATGTTGCGGATCGGAGGCTTTTTAAGATGAGCTTTGGATGTCGATTGGCTTTCGTGGAGATGTAGTTCAAAGCTGATTGGCTGTGTCATAGGTGGATGTAGGGGAGCAGTCTCTTCAGTTGAACTTGCATCTAGGCTTCATAAACTGTAAGCATAAACCTCCAAGTAATTTTCAACTGTAAGCTAAAGAGTAAGTGTTGCTATTCTGGTTGTGTGGAGCTTAAAGTAGAACAGCAGCATCCCTCCCCAACCTGTTACAGTGTACTGTACCCTAGTTGGCTAAACAGTGGCTAAGTCATTTTAACCCATTTAATTTGACTAAAGCAGGTTAAATCTAAATGTATTCAATCAATTTCAGCAATTTGTACAATATTTGATGGCTTGAGAAACACTGTAAATCTATGTGGTGCATAGGGAAGAGCAGGTGCCTGGTATATGGAGATTTGGAGACCGACATGAGGAATAATTCCAAGCCTCAGTATCATAGCTGCATTATGTCCTCCTGTTTGCCTTAAGTGTCCATTTTCTGTCCAATTATTGTTGAAGCTCCAAAATACTGATAAACTAAAAATGTTTATAGAGTTACAACATGACAAAACAAAATATTTAAGGTTATGTTTAAGAATTTCCTACATCTCAACTTGATTGTTCCAAAAATACCAAGCAAACATAAACTTTAAACATTGCACCATGTTGCAACAATCAGTTTATCAAGTTTAGGTATTTTTCCTAAATCATTACCTTTTTACCTTTCATTTCTGTATTTTATTGCATCAAGAAAATAAACAAAAAATAAGCAATATTTACCTTTATGATCAGATGTTTGTGGTCCTTTGTTTTTCTGCTGGCCTAAAGCAAAGACTTCTTTCTTTTGACTAAACTGAAGAGAATCATCTGGGTCACTGACTCCTATAATGCGCCCTGTTTGAACCTCAGTCATTTCCATGCTTGTATCTGCTCCTATAATACGCCCTGTTTGAACCTCAGTCATTTCCATGCTTGTATTGGCTCCCATAATCCGCCCTGTTTGAACCTCAGTCATTTCCATGCTTGTATCTGCTCCAATAATCCGCCCCGTTTGAACCTCAGTCATTTCCATACTTGTATTGGCTCCCATAATACGCCCCGTTTGAACCTCAGTCATTTCCATGCTTGTATCTGCTCCCATAATACGCCCTGTTTGAACCTCAGTCATTTCCATTCTTGTATCTGCTCCAATAATCCGCCCTGTTTGAACCTCAGTCATTTCCATGCTTGTATCTGCTCCAATAATCCGCCCTGTTTGAACCTCAGTCATTTCCATGCTTGTATCTGCTCCAATAATCCGCCCTGTTTGAACCTCAGTCATTTCCATGCTTGTATCTGCTCCAATAATCCGCCCTGTTTGAACCTCAGTCATTTCCATGCTTGTATCTGCTCCTATAATACGCCCTGTTTGAACCTCAGTCATTTCCATGCTTGTATTGGCTCCCATAATACGCCCTGTTTGAACCTCAGTCATTTCCATGCTTGTATCTGCTCCAATAATGCGCCCCGTTTGAACCTCAGTCATTTCCATGCTTGTATCTGCTCCAATAATGCGCCCCGTTTGAACCTCAGTCATTTCCATGCTTGTATTGGCTCCTATAATACGCCCCGTTTGAACCTCAGTCATTTCCATGCTTGTATCTGCTCCTATAATGCGCCCTGTTTGAACCTCAGTCATTTCCATGCTTGCATCTGCTCCCATAATATGCCCTGTTTGAACCTCAGTCATTTCCATACTTATGTCACAACTAGGACTGATCACCGACAGCGCCTCTCTGCGACTTCTGTTTCTACTCAGAGAGCAGTTCTCTTCATCATCATCATTCTTTAGCATTTTGTGCTGTGACAGGAAGTGATCTTTGCTGATAGTTTGTTCGGAGGTTGGAGCAGTGTTTGGTTGGATTGTGGGATTCTGAGGATTTCTACCAGAGTCGATAGTTTTGGAACGACTTGGAGTAAACTTAGGAAAATGTGAATCCCGGCAATATGCTGGTGTTTGTGTATTGGCTGATAAGCTGCTGTTGATGTTTCCAGTGTGACTTTGAGTGATGTGCATAAGCTCATCTGTTTTCTCCCCGCGGTCACTTTTTACAGCTGAGGTAACCTGAAAAGCAAATGAACCGAGATATCGACTTAACATACACTTACATCAAAATTATAAAATCTTAACAGTTTTTCAAAAATCTCTCACATTTTGTTTACATTTTTTAATTTTTTTTATTTCTTAACTTAACTACAAGTTTGCTTGTTTGTGTGTAGCACCTTATCACCAAAACAAATTCCTCACAAGTGAAAACTCTGCTTGCTAACTAAGCTTTTTCGGATTTCAAATGAAAACTCAGAAACTCACCGTATAGTTTTCCTGAGGGATAGAAACTAAAGGTACAGATTTCACAGCTGAAAGAAAAGAAAAAAACATTTTTGACATTGTTAAGCCGCTCATTATTACATTTATAATTACATAGATTAATCTAGCCATTTCCATAAATGCACTTTTTAAATATAAATCAACCAACTCATTGTGGAGCTCCTACATGAGTCATACCTCCTCTAAGGAGGTTATGTTTTTAGGGGAGCTTACCTCTGCTAAAGTCTATATGCTTACTATTAACCTATAGTAATAATCCCTGTATTTATTTCTGCTATATAAACAAATAAGCAATTCTAAGTTCATCCAACCATATTTACTCTATTCTCAGCCACACTGGTGATAAGCATACAAAAAATGAACATAGGTCTAAGTACTGTAAGCAACATCAAGTCTAGTTAGAGCCAGAGAAGCTACAGACAACTTCATAAGTTGAAATTGTTCCTACCTTTTACAGAGTTTGAATCCAAGCTGGTATGGTCCTGTTGCTTCGTCATTTCTCTGGCTTGTGATGCTGTTCTTTCAGAGTTTTTGTACATCTCTTGAGATGGAAAGAGACACTGGAAAGGATCATCGTCATCCAAGGGAGTATGACCGGTCTGGGCTTCTGTCATGTCCATGCACGCATCATCCTCTGGATGGAGAGCACTACCACGAAAGGCTTCTCCGATACTCCTTCTACCGTTTAGAGATTTGGGGACCTGATTTTCTTTGTCAACATCTGAGTTTTGCGTTTCACTCGTAGATGAGGATGATTTTTTTGTCTCAGAGGATGGTTTTATCCCGGTGAGAACGTCGTTGGTTGTGCAGGAACTTGGTTTGGCGAGACTTAAGAGGAAGTTTTTAAAGTCAGGATCCATAAAAGGCACTGTAGTGGAAAGGGTTCTCTTTTCCATACTGGAATGTGCCTTTTTATCAATCAGTAAAGGTGATGACTTATTTGCTGCTTGTACAGAGTGACTGGGAGGTATGTCTGTGATCAAATCAATGACTTTCCCCTCTCCAAAAAGCTCTGCATTGCTGCTGATGTGTGTGGTGTGATTGTGAGTGATGTCCATGAGGCCATCCTCTGCAGAAAACACGAATGTTTTCTCTCCGAAGTCACCCCCACTGTCAGCATGGACCTAGTGAAAGAAAATACTGTCAGTAAATAATAAATACAGTTTTAACACACACAAAAAATGAATAAGTATTAAATAATAAAAGGTGAATTTTAATGGAAAAAAGTTTAGTCTCTCTGTTCAATAGTTTGGTTGGTTTTAAAATTAAATACAGTGGAATCCGCTTATAGTGGTCACGGATTTAGTAATCAACCGCTTATAGTGATCAAAAGGCTAGGGACAGAATCATTTCTATACAAATGCTGTTTAAATAATTTGTTTATAGTAATCCAGAAATCCGCTTATGGTTTTTTGCCCTTTTATGAATGTGAACATGTGTAAAAATAATTAAAGGGGAACGCCATTTTTTTTTTTTTTACATTGGGTCCTTGATTTTACATTATTACATCATGTTCTACTCACCCATATGAGTTTTGTATCATTTGGAGCTGTTCCGAAGATATTCCATTAGGTTATATCCAAGTAACGTCTTCCTATGGGCAACGACTTGAAGGCACAAATTAAACTGTTCATAATTTATCATTTATGGTACGCCAGCATTCATAACATGTAGGCGAATCACTGTCCCCCAGACATCTGCGTTATATTTTTCATATTTATATTTTTTTGAAACAAAGCATCACGTGTATGACGTCATCTGCGTGGGACTGGCGTTGTAACAGGCAGTCCGGGCCACAGCCGGCTACGCTCTACCCCTTCTATTCATTCGGCTAGCAAATCTGAATCGTTCAATTCCATTTCCAGGGTGTGATCATCAGTGGTAGTAGCACTAGACATCTTCCAGGCATGTGAGTAAAACTAGCAGCAGTTCAGCAGACAGGATCAATAAACTGTAGCCGGCGCGTGCGGATGACGTCATACACGCGTCGCTTTGTTTAAAAAATAAATAAATATAAAAAATATAATAGCGGATGTCTGGGAGACAGTGATTCGCCTACATCTTATGAATGCTAGCGTACCATAAATGATGAATTATAAACAGTTTAGTTTGTGCCTTCAAGTCGTTTGCCCATAGGAAGACGTTACTTGGATATAACCTAACGGAATAGTTCAGAACGGCTCCAAATGACACTAAACTTATATGGGCAATATTGATGTAATAACGTAAAATCAAGGGCCCAATGTAAAAAAAAAAAAAAACGGCATTCCCCTTTAAAAAGTGGATCGAAAGTGATGACAGCACTCCAGTGTCAGAGCCAATGATGGATGACGACATCATCGCGGAGGTACAAGAGAGCTTTGGTGCGGGTACCAGTGCTGTGCTCAGCGAGGAGGGGGAGGATGTGAAGGCTGTTGTCTCTTCCAGAGCTGATATGAGGAATGCAATTTGCATTTTAAAGACTGGTCTCCTGCATGTTGGTTTTAAAAACTTTGACCTTTTACATCATTTTGAAAAAGAAGTGAACTTGGTGTTGGACAACACTCTGATCCAGGGAACCATGAATAAATATGTTAAGTGATTTTTAAGGCGGCGCAGCAGATCCGCAATACAAAACAGACGTGGCTACCTTTAATTTTCTGTAGCCTATGCAGTTATCTTCTGCGTTGTTGTTCTATGAAACTATTTGTTTCAAACTTCAGACTGGTTAAAAAAATGCACCGACAGAACCAGGCTACCAGAGTTATGTCTGCGCACAGCGCAGTATACTGTAATTAAACCTGCATGGTACTGTAATAAAATTCAGTAAATGCGGAAGCTATCCGTTTAATTTCATCTTTCTCATTGAAAAACCACACAAATGGCGTTTAAATTATATTCTGCATAAAAAATAAGTGAGATAACGGTAAGTTTGGATATAGTAATCAACTGCTTAGTGATCAAATTGGCTCTGGACCAACGTGACCACTATAAGCAGATTCCACTGTACCAAACCCACGTTTATTTCATATTCATAGACTATCTAATTTCCAGAAAATTCATCATTATATTCATCTATTTTGTCAGATACTCGAGTTTCTTTAAGAAAAGTGGCGATTAAAGAAAAAAAAAAGGTCAAATCAGGCAGATGACTGTATCAACTCATATTTAGACTAGTAAACTCTTTAAAACAAATAAGAAAATAAAACCCTTAATGTAACCGAAACTATAACTGTTAGAAGTTACCATTTACTGACTTATTGGGTTCCTATTTTCTTACAGTGCATTATGAATGGATTACAGAAAAACCTTTGGATTATTCATTTTTGGAATGTTCTTAAAGCTTTCTAAAACAGGTTCAAAGATATACGAACTACTAAAGTGGCTGAAAAAGCAGCATTCAAACTCTACACCTACCATTAATCTTTGCTGGGAAGCATGTAGCGGAGCATTCAGCAGGCTTTCTATACCTATAATCAGAGAGTGGAATTAGAGAGAAAAAAAACCCCAGAAAAAAAAAAACAAATATAGCAATCTTCCTACCTATTATCTGTGGGCTTATTTCTTTAGCTGCCATCACCTGAGCCCTTAATAAAGACAACAAAACAAATAGTGAAGCTTACACAGAATGGTAGTAAATAAACTGAACTTCATGAAACTGAACCACTTACCTGTCATGTGTTTTTGTAGTGGCTGTAAAATGATATAGAAAATATTCTTAGCATTGTTAAAATGAAAAAAATCTAATAATGTATACGGTACTGCATACCTGTTCCCAATAGTAGAGGGGAGTCCGCTTTTGATACATTCTTGGCATCTCTATTAAAAAAGTTAATTAATTAAAATAGTATATAAGGTAAGAATTATGAATTCTACATAAAATAAAGTGGGAGTTTAGACTCACTCAGAAAACAAAAGAACATCATCAGCTGGAGCAAAACTGACTCTTCTTGAAATCCTCTTTTCCACCGGTTTTGCGCTTTCCACCTTAATGGGGAGAGAGGAACAAAAAAAAGAGCAACGCCTAAATATTAAGTAATTAAATAAATCAAAACTCTACTATGAACATTTTTATAATTATTTTACCGCTTTAAAAAAAAAAAGGGAAAAAAATGCAGATGAAACATTTGCTGGTCAGTCCATTTACCTTATTCTCCTGTTGCTCCAAGTCCTGGAACACGGATGATTTCCGTGGTGCTTTTAAAATCTGAAATTTTTAATTTAAGTAATTGATGTTCTGTTCAAAAACATTTTCACATCGTAATTGGAGGAGAGTTCGACATGGAAGATTAAAATAAGAATGATAAAACAGGGAAGAATGGATTCATGATTAATAAAAGGTGAAATGGTTGATGTGGCGGAAAAGTTACTGGATTAATAGATGGACAGATTGAGTAATGTAAGGTAGACAGATACATGAGAAAGAGAATACAAATACACAATCATAATCCATTTCTATGTTGTTGATAAGATGCTTTAAACTTTCACATATTAAAAACTATGATCCAAGAAATATGCATACTTTCTGTTAACCATTTTAAACACTTACAGAAGAAATGCGTCGCCTGGAGGATCCGCTGCCTCCACTGTACCACAAAATACAAACAATAATTAGGCCAATTTTTTATTACTTGGGTATATATTCATTAATGCAGCAAAGGTAGTCAAAATGATGTTAAAAAAAAAACATTTTTCGTAATTTTTCCTTAAATGCCCACTGGAACAGTACAGTATTATGTAGAGCAACATGCACTTCAATGCAGGGCTAACTTTCAATTGCTGCATACAGTAAATACAACATATGGAAAACAATCTGCAGTTACATCATGGCAACATTTTTTCAATTGAAACCCTATAGTAACGGATAAAAAATTATCTAATTTTAAATCCTTTTGATTAATGCTTCGCTGTAAAGCTTCTAATTTTCACCTTTATAAAAAGCTAAACGACTGACACCTGCCTTGTTGCAATAATAGATCTTACTTGCAGCAAGGAGTTTAACAGAGCATTATCTCCCCAGATGACGCCAGAGTTGAACTAATACAAAAGAATGCATTACCTTTATTCTTTCTCCTATTGGACTCCAGGTACAAGATCATAGTTTCAATAAACCCTTTCCTCCCTCTGTTATACTGATGTGTCCATTGCCCATAAATACTACAAGCCGCATCTCAAAGTTATCTTAATCAGCTAATACACAAAATGACATTATTCTACTGGTTTAAAAACACTATATTATAGCTTTACTAGTCAATTAATACAAAATATAAAATATCTTAACGCTTTTCCCACCAATTTGAAGGTGAATCCCACACCATTTACCAATCATCCCTATCACATATTTTACTCACACATTCCTTCCTGGATCCAAAGGTTCCATCTTCACCTGTAAGGAAACAGTGAACCATAATCAGATCATAGATCATAACATCTGGAGGATTTCCAGAATCCTCCAGATGTTAGTGGACTGATAATCCAATTTCTAGGGCATCCCCAGTATGTTACAGCAGTATATATGTCTGTCAACCTGGAGAACTAGACATTAATTTATTTTATTCATAAAAAGCATAATATGGAAGACAGCAGCAGTTTCTCCACTTTCTAAATTACTGGATTTCACATCATTTAAAGAATCCAGACTGACAAGTTATAATGACAATACTGTCACACTTAGATTGTATTATTCTGCACTTGACAAGTACAATGAGAAAAGAAAAAAAATATTGCTGTATAACAAAAGTTCTTGTATCAAGAAAACCTATATTTAAAAAATACACAACCGTTCCTGAACAGCATTTATAGTGATTCCATAAAAACACAAATAAGCACTAAGGTTTATTTACCAACCAAATATCAGCTTCATATTTCAAAGTAATCAGTATTCACAAAAAGCATCGTAATAGCCCTTTAGCAAACTGGGGTAATTAAATATAAAACATCGCAAAAACAATGTCAGATTTACAAAAGAAGAAAGCATCATCCTGCTACCAATACTGAGACAGATTTGGTGTTACTAGCCTTATTGCTAGCCAAGTTATCGATAAATCCCCTATCAAACATGTTTTAAGTCACGTACCTTATGTGTCTTAAACCAGTTTCTTCGATCTACACAAGATATATCTCTGTTGCTCTACGTTAGAAATCAAAAACAAGTTTTATAAGACATTTGTTTTAGGGCAATGCGCCAGTCTCAAACCGAACGCTAACGTCTTTTTTTGAATTTAGCCGCCTTCGCGCATGCGCAACGGCTGAGGCGCATTTATGTTTCTTAACCTACAAAGTTTATCTAAAAATATATAATAATAATAAATAATTACGTATCCACAAACATACACCAACCAACAGTAAAAAAAAAAAAAAAAAAAAGAGATTGAGAGTTTTGTTTACGTCGGAAACCGTTAACAGACCGGAAGAGTTTAAAAGGGGGCGGAAGCTTGCCAACCACCATAAAAAAAAGAAGAAGAAGAAGAAAAAGGGCGGAACTTATTTTGAAATTCGGGACTGTTGATGAAACTCGTTCTCTGATTTTCCTTACAGGTAACATTTTATACTATAACATTTGTATATTATTGAAAGTGTGTGTGTGCTCTGATAACATTGTAGGATAAGGCTGTACCTTCCATAATATAAGATCGCTGAAAGGTGAATAAATACAGCAAATGTTACACTAAAGTCTGGCAGTTTTTACGGTTTAAGCGAGTTACAGTTGATCGTGAACGGATAAAAATATGCAGATTGAAAATGATAAATTATTTATAGTCTGAGCCGAAGTGCCGGAGGGTAGATAATGGTAATGAAATAACATCTTTTTTGAACCACTGTCTTTCTTCACGTTTTTGTTCACTCAATTCCTTTTATTTGTTTTTAATAAAACTTAAATGTAAATAATAATAATAATATATCAATTTATTTAGAATGCTATCTTAACAAAATATGAAGAAATATTTCGAATTTACAACGATAAATTATTTAAAACGATGCATGCATAATCTAAAAACACTGCTGTTGTCATGATACTAAAAATATCAACTCGATACTCGATACCATTTTCGATACCATAGGGATAAAAAAAGACCACAACATTTTTACAGAAATAATTTAATTAATACATAAAATACAAATAAATATAATAAACAATAAGAACAATAGTTTGAGGCTGTATGCTGTGCACAATATTAAGCAAGCATTGATAAAAACTAACAAAATAAACTTAAAGTTTTCCTTCCTTTGTTATGCTTTGCACACATAACAATGACACTAGCCAAACCAGTTAAAAAACAAAATAAATTCTCAGCAGCTGCACCTGTTACAAAAAATTCTGAAACTGAAAAGTGCACAAAAATATTTAATCACACAGTGTTCAGAAAGTACATTTTCCTCTATTCTGCACACTAGATGAATGACTTTACGTGCCACTGGGGGTATCACTGTATCGATACTTTAGAGAATGAGTATCATATCCAGGTACAACATTTTATTATCAATACTTTTTTGCGTATCGATACTTTTGGCAACCCTACACTGCTGATTGTTGATCAGTAATAGTATTAGTCTTAATTTCATCCTTATCAGGGTGGATCCATCCACCCACCTGCTCCAAATGCTCACAACAAATTGGACCATTTTTATTATTTACTTCTCCTTTTCTCCTTATAAAAATGGCATCCATCTCCTGGGTTGTCAGCTTTAAGGAAGTGACTAAAGTATTGTGATATTTCTCGCGATTCTTATGAACTCAACAAAAATGATTACAAGACTGAAATAGTCATAAACACATTTAAATAGCATAGGGCTGAAAAATTTTAATCCGATGAATCATGATTAATTGATTTAAATAATCTTCAACTAATTTAGTAATCAAATAATTGTTAGCTGGAGTATAGAGACTATAAAACATGCCTTTAGCTGACAGAGGAACCCACTTAGAGCAGTAATAATATCAATAATATTATAAAAGAAATGTTTATAAACCTTTTGCATTTCAGAAATTTTTTTTTATCATCTGTCTATATGCTCTATCCAGAACTCAAGTGGAAAAGTTTGTTTTCACCTGGTTTAATTTAGAAAAAAAATCTTCTTTAAGGAACCTATCCAGTTATTAATCGCTTAATTTAAAAAATGATTGACCGAACAATCAATTTGCAAAATAATTGTTAGTTGCAGCCCTAAAATAACATTTGGTGAGGAAAGAGTCAAATGGTAAGACGCCTGTATCCATAAAGTACTTTATTATCATCCCCAAAGCCCTCAAAATGATTTGCACGCCACTTAGGGGTGTCACAATAATTCAGTTTGCCAGACAATAAATTGTCCCACAAACTATTGCAATAAACAATAATATTGTTGTTTGGATAGCCTTAACATATGCAAGGTATTTTAGTATCTGTCCATTCTTACTAGGTAGAGTCAAAATGTGAAATTCAGGCTATTTAACTATATCAGTGGTCAGCATCTCTATAGATATTAAGAGAACTTCCCCGTCTTTGAGTGTCTTTGTATTTTGCTTGTGGATAAATTAAAACTTCCATCGATGGTGGACTGTTTGGAGGACAGAGGACAGAGATTAACTACAGGTTTTGTTTTCCCTGCTGGAAAAACTGCATCTGTTAATGTTTCAGGTGCAGATGCATATTTGGTGTCCTGGTATGTTTAGTTGCTAGAGCAATTTTTTTAATAACTAACGTTAAATACCTGCTTGCATAGGTTAATTGGTTTACAGCAGTTTGAATCCAAGGGGCTTCCATACTGCATCCCTCTTGTTTGGCTTTGAAGTTAATTACATCTTTTTTTTTCTTTTCTAAAACTCCACTACAGTTTCTCAGTCAACTCGATCTCCTGCTTATCTTTGAGGTACATAACATTTGCATACTTTTCCAATACCGGAGTTGTTTTTGCTTTAATGTTATCATCATTAATGCTGGATTTATTTAAGAGATGGTTATATATTCCTTTCTACAAGTAATTATATTATGTGTGAATGGATGTATGTTCATTCCAAAAAGCAAGTTGAAAGTATTATACAGTCAGAAATGGAAACCAAAGAAGCAGCAAATCGTGTTAACAGGACAAAATCCATCATGAATACAAATATGTAACTTTAAGGGTTCAAACAGGCTGTATTTTTTTATACAATCAATAGATTTCAAAATATATATTATAGCAGGAAAGATCCAGATATTGATATAGGATTTGCTTATATTTAGGTAAAGTTAAGGACTTAGAATTCAAAATATGAATACAAATCTCAAACTATTATTACATTGTTGTCCTAAATAGGATAATGGCAAATATTGTTTTTAGTTTTTTTTTTTTTTTAAGCCATATCTACAGTAAATAATCTATTTCTCTCTTCATACAGGTTTTGTTTTTTTTATTGTTTGGAACTGTGTGGGGATGTCCTCAAAAATTCCAAGAGGTGAATTTTTTATTAACTTTTTTTAATGTTATTCCGATAATGTAAATAATTTAAATTAGATTTTTTTTTTAACAAACTGTTATTCATATCTATATTTCCAGGTTTAAATTTACCAGCAGAGGCTAAAACTGCTCAGAAAACAGAAATGAATCTCAGAAATTCAAAGGAAAATGTTCCAAGGTAAAAATAAATAAATAAATATGTATGTGTGTATGTGTCTATGTGTATGGATGGATGGATGGATGGATGGATGGATAGATAGATAGATAGATAGAATGATTGATTGTTTTTGCTCTAGGTTCCAAATTTTCAAGTTTCCAAACTAAGTTTCATTTATGCATCAGAGTTATTGAAATCTATTGTCTTTTAGGAAACATGTTGTTTCTAAGGCTCACAAAGGGTAAGTCATGCATCATATTGATGTAACATTGTGGTTCTGCAGGCTCTGGCCCATTTTGGTTCTGTGTCTGATGCTTTTTATCCCATTCATATGTAGGATTTCAACCAGAAACGGGCAACAAATAGAGCTAAAGGAGCAAAATCTAAACTTGGTGGCTACAAATGAAGACCTGCAGAAACACTTGTCAGAGAAGGAGGTAAAAGAACTAGTGTCAAAAGAAAATGAACTATTCATTCACTCGTTTCTAATAAATGTCTGATATATATTTTTTTTATATCAAAGCAAAGGGTTGCTGAGTTAGAGTTACAACTCGGTGAGCTTCAAAAGGAGAATGCAGAGTTTCAGAAAAACCTACAGGACTGTCATTCTCTCTTAGTTTCTGCCAAAATAGACCCAGGTGAAAAAGTGGACTAACTGTTTAAACCATATCTCACTTATTGTGATGTTACTTGTTTAATTAACCACCGATTTAATCCTTTAGTTTTAGGGGAAAGGGTCGAAGATGCAGCAAGGCAGAAAGATACTGAAAGAAAAGAGGTTACGGTATGTGTTGCATTCCGCTTGCACTTGATAATGTTGCTATAAAAAACTCACAAACATGAGCACAAGACACCAACAACCTGATCACAATGGAAAGTAGAAACATGCTCTTACTAATTTGGTGCATTACTGCATATTTCAGAGTCTTTCAACCGATCTCCTGAGGGAACTTAAGGCCTTTGGGGACGTTGCATCGGAACAGCTCACTCAGCTACAGGCAAGTCATTTTCCTCTCACTTTTATGGTCCTGTTGCAGCTTTTCTGCTTTGTGTGTCTGAATCTTCGTCATATCTTTAGGAAATCCAAGACACAACGGAGAAGATCATGAAAGAGCGTGAACTTATCAAGCGAGAGAGGGAGAACTTCTCTGAGGAGGCTGCTGAATTTGAGAGAGCCCTAAAAGAAGCAGAGGCACTCCTGTTGTAGAATGACGAAAACAATCTTTGCTTTACCAAATTTTTTTTTTTTTACATTGATTTTTTTTCCATAAGATGTAATGTTTAAATAAAATCATAATAATTATACTATAATTCCTCCTTATTTCAGACAAATACACAGCAGGGTCCTAAATATAACAGAATCCAATCATAATCTTTTTTTTTTTTTTTTTTTTTTTAAGATAGTTTGACTTCCCCAAATCTTCAGCCTTTTACACCTATTTAGTATTATCAAAACTTTTAAACAGTAAATGGTGAAGTTGTGCTACTTAATCAGACCATTACAAATTGATATGCTGTACAGATAATTTGTTTGCATTCTAGATACAGTTGGGACTTCTTTTCAATATAAAACCTGCATACCTCGTTCTGTTTTACGGTTTAATGTTTTCTTTAAGGGCAGAAGAAGTGATAAAGTTTGGGGTTTTTTGTTATATCAGAACAAATCTCTTCTGTGA